AAGCACCAAGATCCAGCATTCTAGGTGGGGCATCTCCATCTTGTCTTGGACATTACCACAACTAGGGTAGGCAGTTTACCGATCAGGAATTCCGACCATTTTTAATAATATTTGGGGTACTGGCAAGAAATGTATACATCTTCATGGAGTTGTAACTGAAGGGAAATAAATGCGACTTCATAAACCGAAATATTTCAGGTACAACTTCTACAAAAAGGTTAATTTTCAAAACATTTCAATCATTTTTACTTTTTTTTCGACTTGATTTTAATCCTTTTTAATAGGTTTATTTTAAATAATTTAATTTTTTTCTCAATTTAAACGATTAAAATAATCGGTCAGTCTAATTTTGTTTAACCGAAACATTTCAACCAATTAAATTTTAAAAAATCAAAACATTTAATTCTCAAAACAAAAAAGAAATTTGATTCTTGAAACTCAAATTCCTTCTACAGCAAAACATTTTTGCAAATAATGCCTCGATATATTTCTTTCCAAACAGTGTTCACTTATTTTCCCAATTTTTTCAAATTTTCTAATAAAAACATACCTGTAAATCGTTCTCCACATGACTCCTCATCTGTGTGATAGCGGCCATCAGATGTGTGGATGTTGTTGCTCGCAATTCCGTACTATAAATTTCGATCATTCGACTCAAATTCAGTGCTTTCACGGACCAGTAGAATTGCTCCACGTCACTGAGACGAACAATCTCGTCGTTGGGCGTGAACAGCTGGCAGCCCAGGTCAAATTTGCATATCACCGCATTGATTGTATTGAAAATCCAGGCTTCGATCGGTAGCATTTTGTGTGAAATCATCATAAATTTGTTGGCCATTTCGGGCGGAATATTTGGTGGAAATTTGGACAGCAGCTTCAGCTGCACAATGTGCACCGCGGCAAACCGGTCGTGGCACCGAAAAACCACCGGCATTTTGAGGCCATCAATTTGCGCCCATTCCCACTGGTTCATGGCCAGCTGAAATTGCTCACCGGTCGGCGGAATTTGCTGCTGAGCAGCAGCAGAAGTAGCAGGTGCTACTTTCAAAGGTTTCACGAATGCTGAGGGTTGATTACTGTGAAGCGGTCGAATACGCGGCAGTGGCAAATCGGTGGCGGTCATCTGGATAAAACGTTTTTTTGGTGGCCGAGGATCCAGGCCAACCGAAGAAATCGTTGTTGTGGTCATCGTCGTTGATGGTAATACTGCTGCTG